CATACCGGGCAAGTTCTAGACACAAGTACAATACATGGACTACACAAATACTTACCACACATGGCATATGACTCATTCCAGATCATCTCATCAAGACATTCCATTACGAGCAGTCAATTCAGTAACAAACATACAATTTAAGGCATTTTCCATGAGATTCAACAATTAAGACTAAGCGTTACACTCTAGGGTCTATTGTGTTCAGGTGTGTCAACGCTATGGGTTCACTTTTCTATAGCTTATAACTCTTTATTTTAGTCTACAAAATAAAAAAAAATATAAAAACAAAAATTAAAAACTACCTATGCCCGGTTCAAGATAAACCCTTGGAAAAGAACTGCGGCTTAAAGAAAAACCAAGGGGGAATTGCTACACTACCTAAGAAAAAATATATAAAAAAAAAATCTTTTGTTGTTTTCTCTAGACTCACTTCCCTCAAGAAAATTCGTCTAAAAGATCCGTCGTAGGGAAAAGTCTAATTTTTCTACCATTTTTTTTTCACATAAAAAAATTAATCTTCTAAAATACTACACAACTACGAAGAAAAGAAATAAGAAGCTAAAATACTAAAAAGCTAATTATCCAAAGGAATTCTCCCACCCCACACTTAAAAGAGTGCAATGTCCCCAATGCACAAATAAAAGCAAAAAATAAAAAATAAAAAAAATAACAAGGGTTGACAAGAAACTCCCTGAAAGGCCAAAGACCGAAGCACTGGCAGCTCACAGGGTACTCAGACTTCTCCCAAGGATGGTCCTTTGTGCGGGTACCTCACACTAGTTCCAACTAGCTGGCTCGCATTTGCACACTTTCAGTGGCTTTTATTCTATGCTCATAATCCTACAACAAATGCTACAAAGGTAGAAAACTAAAATAAACAAAAATAAAAGAAAGCAGTAAAGCTGGGTTGCCTCCCAACAAGCGCCTAATTTAACATCGCGGCACGACGTGAACCATTTTTTGCTTCCACCTTGAACTTATGAATTGTACCTCTAACAAGGCATCAAGTCTGTCGCTATGCTTCTTTGGTGGGGCTATAAAGATAACCAGGCCAAGTAATAAATTTTTCACTCGACACTTCTCGGCCTTTGGATGAGGAATGTAATTTTTGCTTTTTGGCACAATAAATTCAAGAATATAGACACTTTCATCCTCACTCTTTGACTTCCCCATAGGGTCAGGTGGCTCGATTACTATCTTACTATCTAAACACAATGTGAAAAAATGATTGGAATGAGGTCTAATGCGCCATAACTCATGAAATTTACTACTATTTACATCCTCATTTATACAAACACTCAATTCTTCTAAAGTAATGTTATCTACTCCCTCACATGACTCTAGAGCACTCTTCTTAACATGGACATCCTCAAGAAAAATATGATCTAATGATTGGTATTCTTGTTTTAGCTCCTCTATTTGGTCTAGAAGATTTTTTTCAGCTTCATACAACTCATCATTAAATTGTTGGGCGTTACACGCATCAACCTTTGCACTCAAATCTGAATCCAAGTTATGCACAACCAAGCCAAAATTATCACTTTTTTGTGCAAGCTCATCTCTCTCCTTAGACCAATCTTTCATCACCGTTGTTAGTAAACAACGTCGTTTCGCAGAATCCACTAATCGAGAATATCCGTCCCAATACCAACCCTTACTCCCATATTCAAATTCAGATGTCCAAGAGGTGAGGTCATGACTAGCCAAAAAATACGGGCCATAAAAATCTTTGATTAACCAAGCGTCTTCATCATTAACCTTACCTCTGTATATTTCATCCTCAGATGTCATCTTGAGAGAATTAGAAACATACTAAGAGAAAAATTAAAAAGTTATAAAAATAACATATTTACAAAAAGAAAAGAAAATAAACTTGTAAAGATAATAATAAAAGTCTAACCCAGAAGAATAGTTAATGTCTAATTCCCCGGCAACGACGCCAAAAATTTGTTGCGACCAAAACACTCACCCAAGTGTACGCGATCGACAAGTAATATAGTAGTAAGCAAAGTATCGTTCCCACGAGGAATTGTGATCAACTTATCGACTGATGTAGACTCAAACAATTATCAATTCAAGTTAAATTATCACAAAATATATAAAGAACCAATTTACAATTTACTTAGTAATTAAACAATAATTCAATACAAAATTACTACACCAATTACACAATATTTTGATAACAATTTGGGTAAAGATATTCCAGGGTCATGGACTTGCTAGAGATCATGCTACTATTTTAGCTTAAGATTGATTTATTGAATTATCCGGGTTATTGATTATAGGGTTAATAATATTCATAAGAATCTTTCGAGTTCTTATGCATCTATTCAAGTTAAACTAATACCTATATGTCTATGGTATTAATATTAGCAAGAATGCATTTACAACTCCTATTTTTCAACCAAACAAGGCAATTAAGTATATGTCTATCTTAATTGCAAATTCTTCACCCGATGCCCGAGATTCAAAACTTGTTCTATTTGATTCTATATGCAACCAAGAATTTTCTTTGTCAAGTTTAATTCAAGATTCGTAAATAATATTTCACTGTTAGCTACGCAGTAAAATAATTAAAAGCAGAATCAAATAAACAACCCATAACGATTGATTCAAGATCTTCAATTTAAGCTTCAAACAACATAATTATCTAACATCCATGATCCAAGGATACTAGAGTTTTTAGCTACTCATAATCATACAAAAATCAACAATAAAAGTTTTAAACATAATATTAACAAGCAAATAGAAGAAAGTTTAGAAGAGCTCTTTGAATCCTTGCTTCAAGATGATGTTCTTCTTCTCCTTTCTTAGCTCCAAGATGAAGCTTCTCCTTCTTCTATGGCTTTTTATCCCTCAAAATCTGATCTCTTTTCTCAATAATGGAGCTTTACTTTATGTAAGTTGAGTGGATCCTCTTAGATTTCCCATTTTGCCCCCAAATAATTGATTTCCCGGACTGGACTAGCGCGGGAGCGCATGACCAGCGCATGACCAACGCATGACCTGTGCATGACCCGCGCATGACCCGCTTTCTCTTGTTAAGATGTTGCTGCTCAACTTTTCGTCATTTGACTCCATTTTTCACTTGATTACCATCATAAATCCTCATTTGTTTATTGAACTCCTATGAGACATTAAAGTCATGATTAGAGCCAATTTTTGCATTATTTGAACATTTACAATAGTAAACCATCCTTAAGTTGAGCTAAAACATAGGCTATATTAAACAATTTAGCCTATTATCATAAACCTTTCAAGGTTGTTCTCTGCTCATTCTACTTCAATACTAACATATAGGAGGAATCTAGATCTCATTTTACATGAATACTACTTCAGTTCGTTCATGGCTAGAAGAACCTCGCAAGTATTAACAGACCACAGACAAGAAAACGACGGCAAGTCGCAATAACGTCCAAAGCCGGAAAGGCTGGAATTGTAAAATACATACTAACAATACCACAAGGCAACAATTAGAACAGATTGTACCCGGATAGTAAAGCAACAACTATGAACAACAGGATTTTTCTTTCATTCTCATATAAGTGATTAAAACATCAAAATTACATTAATCAAGAACAGGTTAAGAAGAACGGACCTGAGACAAACTTTCCAAATGCAATCTGAAAGTGTTTAACTATAGAAAACTTGGACAGTCACGACAACCTCGACCAATCACCACCGAACCAACGAAGCAGCAATAACACTCAACTAAAACTCCATGACCGGACTTGAGTCAATTTCTTTTAAAATCAGAAGGAACGAAACTCAAAAATTCACATGAACTCCATAACAAATCTAAAAATCAAAATGACTGAAGCAACTATATCTCTGTGTGATTTTGCGTGTATGTGTGTGTGTCCGAATCGTTCTCGAAAAATCAGAGCAAAATGAAAGATATTACCGTTGAAGGTTCTTTTCTAATAAATCTCGAGGTTTGGCTGCTGTAGCTTAGATATTAGGGCTGGAAGATATGGAGATATCCCCGGAGTTAATGAGATCCATCACAAAACGATAACTCTGGTCGGAATCTAAGAGCAACTCTGATGAAGCAGTAGCCGAATCCGATGAAACAACAGTGGTTGTCGGATCTCTGGCCAAATCTGTCACCCTCCGTCGCCAGTAGTAACAGAGAAAGAGGAGGACGGAGGAGAATGAATAGCAGTGGTTGAGGCTGATGATTTTTTCGGTGATGGCTATGGGTGTGTGTCTAGTTTCATAAGGAAGAAGAAGTAACGTTGGGGGGGGAGGGGTTCTATGGAAATGACGCTCAGCTTTTGCAGAGTATCTGCGTTCTTTCTTTTCAGGCCTTTTTTAGTTTTAGGCGTTACCCCCTTTCCACCTTTTTTTATTTTTTTAAGCATTAATTTATAGGTAGAGTCTAGGTTTAGGTGTATTTTTGTGTATTTTGTCCATTAGTCCCTAGGTCTTTTGTGTTAAGTCCTTAGGGTCTTATTTATTTGTTTTTGTTCTAAAGAAGAGTCTAGAAGGGTCCCTAGGCTTAAAGGACTAATCCGAATTGGGCCATGAATTGAGTTCTAAAACTCTTAAAATTATGATCTAACACCTTAATCAACTCATTTTAAAGTAAGATAAAAATACTACCCCATGCAAAAGCTAACATGAAACTATTATATATTTTTTATTTTCAAAATTATATAAAGATGAAAATATGGTTCTATTTTTTTTTTTGAAAGATACATACTAAAGTATTTTTTGTAATTTTCATTTTTCTTGTAATAAAATAAAGTAAAAAAGTAAAAATGAGTTGAAATAGATATATTAGGCCTAAATTAAATATTTTACGCTAAAATATAAAAATCTTGGCGAGGGTCAAAAATCACATGTCTACAGCTGCCCCTCTTTGACTAGAAACGCGAAGAGTTTTCAGACAAAGACTGACTAGACAGGTTTTTTGACCCCGACCCTTATTTGGAGAGACTAAAACTAAGAAAAAGGGAATGTGACCGAGCCCTGGTATCTGAGCTTCCTACATATCCTTGGCTATAAAGGAATCAGGCCACGTGTAGTTCAGAGGTGAGTGAGATGATAGAGTACCGAGGTGGAAAGTCAGTCGAGGTGCCGTTCCGCCGAGGTTCCGGTCCGAGGTTCCTGTTATTACATCAAAAATCAAATGAAAAAGACTAACTAGGCCTTTAAACTACGAGTTACAAGATTCCTATCTATAAGTCTTCTGAAGCTTAATCTTGAGTCTTTAATGGTTCTTCATGCAGACTTTAGATTTGAACCTTGGCGCTTGTTAGCTGCAGGTGCTAGCTCGTTCTTCTTCAGCTTTTTTGGATCAAGACCGGACCTGTAGTGCTTGTGACTTCTACCATGTCTTAAGGAGTTCACATCCTCCATCAACTTCTGTATTTGGATTAACTTCTTGCCCTTCTCCTTTTTCTTTATTGTGACTAGCTTCTGTTGATCACCTCGGACTGTTGACTCGCATNCTGCCACCCACTCATCGCGCATGTTGTTTTTTCTTGACTTAAACCACTGGCCCTGGACTTGAGGTCTGTTGCTCCTTCATTTTCCACGATAACTTTGATTTCTGCTCGGAGGACCTCACTTATCACTGATTAAACACCTTTTGTAAATCTTAACACAGAAAATACCTTTGATCCGTTCACCAAACTTGTTGCATTGTTCATGAATTGATACCCTCCATCTTGTTGCATTGTTCATGAATTGATATGTACCAAACCCTCGGGTTTCACCAGAAATACTTTTGATCCGTTTATCTAACACCCCCCATCTGTTGCATTGTTCCTGAATTGATGTGTACCAAACCTTTGTATTTCACAAGGGTCCCAAAGCATGTTGATTGTTACCAGCTCAGTGCGCTTGTTGTTCTTTCCTAACTTATGACACTTTGATGTACTGGCCAGATCCCGTTTTGTGCAATTGCAAAGCTGGTGGCAAATTTTGAAGTCATTTCTCACTTGTTCTGACCAAACAGACTCGAAAAGAGGAGGTAAACAAGACAAAAGGAACAGAGTAAAGGACAAAAGAAGGGGATGATTCCCAATAAGAAAACTACAAAGTAGAAACCTATCAGATATGGATACCAACTCTAATGACCATGACATGTGTGGCCTATTCTGTTGAGCAAGTCTGATGTTCAACTCCTGTTATACCCCTAAACCGTGAAACTGGGCTTCAATGCTCCGATTATCCAATCTGATTCACAATCCTTATTCGACTTGTAGTGCCCGAAGCATTTTCACCATCAAGCCTCTATCATTTTGTTCTTTCTCTCAACTTACTGTCGCCTTACGGTGCCCACAAGGGTTTTCACCAATAAGACTCTCTCATTTTGGATTTCTCTCAGCTTCCATCGCCCTACGGTGCCCGTGAAGGTTTTCACCAATAAGACTCTCTCATTTTCATTATTTTTTTGCTTGGACCAGAGTGTTTCCCCTGATATGAATTACCTCTCCTTGCTTGACTTGGCATCTCTCGAAGACTGATCGGAAGATCTTTCTTTAGACCGTAACGTAGGCTTTTGGATAGGGTTAAAAAGAAAGGATAGCAAAGGCTCAAAACAATTCACATGGGTTCAAAATTACAACTTTCGGAATCAGATTTCTTACAACAACCACAACTTCTACCCCAGTTTCTTGCTTGAGGACTTTTGGATTTTTATTTTGATGGGACCAAACCGTGAGGTTGCCTACGTATCCTTAAAAGGAATCATGTCGAACGTATTTCATGATATAGAAATTACTTTGTTGTTGTGATTTTCTCTTTTCTCTTTCTTTTCTTTCTCTTTTTTGCTTTCTTTTTCTCTTTTTGTTGTTTTTTTTCTTTTTCTTCTTTTCATTCTTTTTTTTTATTTTCATTTTTCTTCTCTCCCTTTTCATTCTTTTCTTTTCTCCTTTTTCTTTTACTTATCTTTCACGCTTGTGTTTTTGATCTTTGCTACTGATTCCGAAAGAGGGGTATGAAAGAAAATAAACAAGGCTCAAATGGGTGACGAAGGATAAGGTGTTTAGATAGCAGAACAAAATGTCTTTGTCATTCCAATCTTTAAAACATGCCAAGTACAAATAACACAATTAAACAAACCAAGGAAAACATTCGTAACATCTTTTGATTACGCCAGCCTTGATGACCATATCCACACATTCGCCTTCTATATCTGTTGAATACAATGCACCCTTGGACAATACTCTCACTTTCCTTACCACGAACGGCCCCTGTCAATTTGGCAAACTTACCTTTAGCTTCCACCCGATGCGGCATGATCCATTTCAATAGGGTTTCTTTATGTTCTATCTGCCCTAGTTTCACATGGTTCGGGCGTCAAGTGATCTCAAAATGCCTTTACTTATTTCCCTCAAATGTCCCTATCATCTTCAAAATTGTTCCATTGCTTCATAACTAAACTGACTTTAGACCAGGCCTAGAATTTTGCATGCATGTCATGTCACTAGAACTAGCATTAGACAAAAGACAATGAAAGGATAGAAAAGAGCTAAACAAAGAAAATGACTGGAAATAACAAAATACAGGACATTGCATTAGACAGACGGTGAAACAGTTCGAATAACAAAACAAGTAAAACAAACTGGGATACAACCCTGGAACAAACCTAGACAGCACTAAATGAGATACTACGACTAAAGGAACTAGACAAAATAAAAGGATAGAAGGGTTTGAGTCACAAGACAATATCCGGATTACAACCCTGAAATAACCCGGACAACAGAAATGACAACAAACTAAGCCACCAAAGCTCCTCCCTGGCTAACCAAGAAAAGAGCGTCTTTCCAGTCCTCCAATTCAACATCTTACCCACTGGCCTCTGCATCAACAATACTAGGAACTTCATAAGTCTTCATCACATTGTTCTTAACAAATTGATTTTGGGTTCCTTTTGCCAGCTCATTTTAAAGATCAACCCCTGATAGCGTTCATAGCTTAGTAGCACGTGGACCTCCGAGGCTCCCAGAAGAATTCTCACATTTCTTTTCAAAATAAACCATACCCACCATATGCATCTCATTATGCACAGGCGATGAACTTTGGCTAGTGTCTGCTGCATCTGAATTTTGCACAACAATGTCGCCTGCATCAATAAGCTTCTGAATCGCATTCTTCATATTCCAACACTTCTCTATGTCATGCCCCGGGGCATCAGAGCAATAGGCGCACCTTTGAGAAAAATCAAACTTCTTTGGAAGAGGGTTTGGCATTTTTATCTGGGTCGGCTTCAACATGTCCAATTTCCTTAGCCTCTGAAACACACTGGCATATGACACTCCCAATGGAGTGAATGTATTCTTCTTCTGTAACCTCTCTTGCTTAAAGGCTTGACTGGGCCGGAAACTTGATCCAGGGGGTTTTCGGTAGGCTCGTGGGGGTGGATAGGCATTTTGTGGAGCTGGGTACTGGGAAAGTGATGTACTATTTTGGAAGTTTCGTGGAGAGAAGTGGAGTTGGGGAGGATCATTTGGTGTACAAGGATATCCACGGGGACTATGTCGAGGCTGGAAGTGTTGATCAGGAAAGCCCATCGGATCATCTTTTCTGTTTCTCTTTCTTCCACCTAATCTAACTGGGGTGTTCTGAATGTCTTTCGAACAACTCATGATTTTGCCTGACTTGATTCCCTCTTCCACTAGCTCCCCTATTTTTAACATATCTTTGAAAGGCTTTCCCAAGGCCAGGATCAAATGACTGAAGTAGGTGGGCCCCTGGGCTTGTAGGAAAAGCTCAACCATTTCTTCTTCGCCAATCGAGGTATTGACTCGAGCCACTTGCTCCCTCCACCTGAGCCCAAACTCCCTAAAGCTTTCCTCCAGCTTCTTTTCCATTTTAGATAGGGAGGAGCGGTCTGGGATAACACCTGATCTATTTTGAAAGCATCGAACAAAATCTTGAGCCATGTCACCCAATGTAGGCCACTTACCAACATCTTGACGATTATGTCATTACAAAGCTTCCCCAGTCAGGCTCTCACTAAAATACGCCATCAACAAATCATCTCTCTCGCCAACACTTCTCATTTTACTGCAATAATCCCTCAAATAGGCTACCGGATCTCCAACCCCATCATACAAGTTAAATTTTGGTACTTTAAACCCCACAGGCAGACGAACGTTGGGGGACATAGAAAATTCTTTGTAAGACATGCTACCCTGGTCTCTCATTCCTTGCGTGTTCTTTAAGGACTGTTCTATGCCTTTCAGCCTCCTGGGTATCCCATCTCGCCCCTTTCTTCCTGTGAAATCTTCATTTACAACATGAGGCCCATCCCGCGTACGCTGCTTGTATGAGTTGGGAACCTTGTGGGCAATCTCTGAGGGGTAATATTGGG